GACAAAGTGGACATTCTGTTTGTCGTCGTGAGTTTTGCTGTTTCGTCTTGTCCCATTGATGTGACGTCATTTTTGCCTTCAGAAAATTCTGAATGGTCAACTGTTTTCCCCTTAGTTTGAGACAAAGTGTTGGCCTTCTCCTTGAAGTAGTCACTACTAGTGTTTGGAGCTGTCGTCTTCTGTTCGAAGTAGTCACTATTAGTGTTTGGAGCTGCGGTGCTCCCTTCATAGTAGCGACCACTCACCTCTACGTCATGGTGGTCAGACAGACTAGAGGATGTTGTACTTCCCCCAGTGGGTGCGGGGGGATATTGTTTCGGAGTTGCGAATGAAAATGGTTTTCGATCAGAAAGCGTGGGTGTAGTTCTGAAGAGGCTGCTTCTGGAAGAATCGCTGGACAATTTGTTTGTAGTTTTCGTAAATCTGACATCTTCGTTATGTCCTTTTGATGTCACGTCTTTTTTGTCTTCAGAAAATTCTGAAAAATCTAGATGGCCAAATGTTTTCCTCTTAGTTTGAGACAAAGTTGTTTCTGTCTTTTGATGTTTGGATTGGGTGGTCACTCTCTCAGTCACACGGGGCGAGGGTGTTGGTTTGAGCCTCGTCTGATCATCACGTGACTTCGTGACGTAATCACGCCCGGCCAGTGTGGACGGAGGGTCGGTGACGCCACGAGAGGGAGTGGGAAGAGTTTTGTTTTGATCACCTCGCGTGAATTTTTCTTCTGGAAGACGATCAACTGATGTGTGACCTCCATTTTGATACGCCTCCACAGCGGGAGCTTCTGGTCGGTCCGTTTGTGTGGCGGGAACTACTTTCTCATGGCTGGGTTCCTGCGCGGAGGTGGCGGTGGTGGTGGTTTGGTCAGACGACATGACGGTACTTTTTCCACGACTGACGTGAGAGGAAAGTAGGTGCAGCCGTTGAGCAATAGTTGGGGAAACAGTCGTCGTGTTTTGGTGAGTGGGCGGAGCAGGGTGGTCGTCCCGGGGGAGGCTTTCAGAGCTCACAGTTGCCAAAGTTGACGAAGAGCTCACAGTTGCCAAAGTTGCCGAAGAGCTTACAGTTGCCAAAGTTGCCGAAGAGCTCACAGTTGCCAAAGTTGCCGAAGAGCTCACAGTTGCCAAAGTTGCCGAAGAGCTCACAGTTGCCAAAGTTGCTGAAGAGCTCACAGTTGCCAAAGTTGACGAAGAGCTCACAGTTGCCAAAGTTGACGAAGAGCTCACAGTTGCCAAAGTTGCCGAAGAGCTCACACTTGCCGAAGTTGCCAAAGTTGCCGAAGAGCTCACACTTGCCAAAGTTGCCGAAGTTGTCGAAGAGTTCACAGTTGCCAAAGTTGCCGAAGTTGTCGAAGAGCTCACCGTCCCGTCCCCACCTCCACCACTAGGTGGGTTTTGCGTCTCTCTCGTGTTGGACTCAGACGCGTCTACGCCAGAGATACTCGCTTCTGATGACGTCAAAGCTCGATCAGAAGCTGGCTTTACCCCGTGGGCGTCTTGTTCGGTCAACACTGATGACGTCACAGCTCGATCAGAAGCTGGTATCAGCTCGTCTGTATCTGGGTTGGTCCTCTCTAATGACGTCACGGCCTGATCAGAAGCTGGTATCACTTCGTGGATGCTTTGTTTGGTCCAGACTGATGACGTCACAGCTCGATCAGAAGCTGGTTTCAGCTCGTGTGCGTCTTGTTTGGT